AACCCACCCCCACCCCTCAGCGACCCCCCACGACCGGGACGGGGGGGCAGCCTTAAGTGAAGCGCGCACCACCCAACCTCCCTTTCCCCTAGCTGCACATCGAAGAACGGCGTATGTCAAATTCTTTTAACAAACTGAGTCCTATGTGACAGCACGTATGGCCACAATAAGCTTTGTTTGCCCCCCCCCCCCAACACAAGGTGGTAAAGTTCAGGAAATGGATTCCAACTGAGGACCGCACTGTAGGAGCTGACCAGTGCATGTATATCCACGACCGTTAAAAAGAAGGGTCAACCCCAATCAATACAATACATTTTTTGTTTAAAAACCGAAAATGAAAACAGGATGTGTTTTTATTTAAAATACACAAAATAGTTGCAAACGCAAATGGAATTTTGAGATGTAAATTACACAAATACAATCACAAGGTGATGTGAATAATGTTCCGCGTTTGATCACTTATCAGAAATAAATTTGACTAATTTACCTCATTTCCAGATGAACAACTTGCACCAAGGCTAAGCTTAGCTACCTCCTCTACAGTTGACTGTACATTTTCTTTCTGGTCCTCGGATGGTGATGCTGAATCCACACATAAACCCAAGGCCTTGCATTTCTTCAAGTGAATTGATTCTTCATAAGGCGGTTTAATGGGTGATTGCACTGGTGGGCGATAGACATATGGTTGCCTACCTTCCAGCTAAAAAGAAAACAATCAAAATGTTACCTGCAGGACAATTTAATATTGATCAGGCTTATTTAAATTATTAAATTGTTTACCTCCAAGGGGTAATTTGTGTCAGAGTCGTAAGCACTTAAATCACCACAGGCTAAAAATGGAACAATTATTCTGTTGGAGCCTGTTAGTTCATTCCAATCAGTGTATTTGTGATCCAGTAAAGGATTGCTCATGTTTGGAACATAATCGGCAGGAGGTGAATAATTTTGGCAAACAACAAAAGATTCTGCAAATAAAGTTCAGTATCACATATTATACACATCTCACGCTCTCTCTCAAAAAAAAAAAAAAAATCTACCTGCTAGTACTTGCTAACAACTTACCAATACTAGAATTTCTACTGCTGAGAGGTTTTGAAACAGTCACATTTGGGAAAAAAAGTTTCAATTGTGAATAAAGTAAAGTTATATCTTTGCCCCTAAATATTTTAGCCAAGAACGCCCCCCCTGGTTTCAAAATATGCGTAGTAATGTTTAGTGCAGCAAGAAGGAGCTGCGCTTGAATATATTCATCCATCTCATGAAGTCCTGTGACTACACAAAGGAAGAAATGCATTTAAAAACACAACTATAAGACAGGTTAACAGATACTGCTATACAAAGTTTCTTTCTTACCATCAGGGGCACCATCGCACACAACTAAATCTGCCGATTCTCCTTTGAAGTGGTCGATTATGGCATTTGCAGTAGACACTTGAGTAATATCACCTTGCAGCTGTATGACACCTTTGAGTGGTGCCATAGCTTGTAGGTCTACAGCCACAATTTTAGCATTGTCAAAGCCATCTCTGAAAATTCAAATGTTGTATGGAAATATTTCTAAGGTGGTTGTAACAAAGCGAATGAAGTATTCTTACTTGTGTAACCGCTTGGCAAGGACTTGACTCCAACTTCCTGGAGCAGCACATAAATCGACAACATTCTTAACACCTGAAATCAACGAGAATGAAGTTGAGTCGTTTGTAAACACCACAACATAATTATTGATAATGGAGTGAGTTAGGTTAAATATATTAGCCCACCTTCCAAAAGTTTGAACTCGTCATCAATTTGCATTAACTTGAAAGCACTCCTCGCACGCCATCCTTCTTCTTTGGCCAATCTGTAGTATACATCTCGCTTATCCTTTGAAGTTTTACCCATTTCGGCAATTCACAAATGTACACAAGCCGAATGCAAGCACAACCCGACCATATGTTGCCGCTGTCGTCTGCAGCATGTTATACGCCCTCTAGATTTTTGTTTTTAAATTCCTCACAGTCGCAACAACCAAGAAAAATTAAGACATTTTCTTCAACAAGAAAACTTCATCAGTAAAGCTTTAGCTAATTAAAAAGTACCTGAAATGTCAAAGAAAAAAATTGAAATTTCGACAAGACTCTAACAAAATGAATATATTTCCGCAGTAAGAATATTTTTTTTGAAAATCGTGTTGTCTAGCATGCTACCTTTCACCTGACGTTTCTCAAAATCTCCGAAAAATCAAGGGGGCCGTGTAGTTTGACAACTGGCTCAAAGGGGTTATGTCGTTGTTTGTTTTCTAGTTGATGCCCCTTGAAGATGGGGGTAATATTCGCGTCTAAGTCTTGATCAACGGTCTTTACCATGTTCAGCAAAGTTCGAAACGCCTTGTACAACGCTGTGGGTGGAGTAGAGGCTCTGCCTGCAGTCGCAGACGGAGAAGACCAAAGTAGAACGCGGGTACCCAAGTTTCCATACGCAAGGCCCCATTTCTTGTTGTTTCAACAAGATGAGGTTCAAGTGTCCGCTGATCACCAAATCAGGCCCATTATCGTACCCAGGGACATCTCGAAAATACCCTGGTTGAGTGGATATGCCGAGTAAGTCTTGTTATTTAACCCTGTCAGCATAATGTTTTTTGTCAGTAGCTGTTTGATATATTCCCCTATGTTTTTTAGTTTCTTGTCTGTATAGAAAAAATAGATTCTATCCTAGGAAGTAGCTCCTAAAATTATGTACAATTCTTTGCCACAGAACTGTGAACGCTGGAAAGTCAACATGGAACGAGGACCAAGCCTGTGTCCAGCAAAGAATACTTGTACGGGAGTCAGAGAAACATATTCAGGGTGCAGGGATGCCATATACATACTTTGCACTTTTCGATGGTCATGCTGGCTATGGAGCAGCAGTTGCAGCAGCAAATCAACTTCACAATATTGTCCATGTAAGAAATTTGTCTTATCTGAAATTTTGAATATTATCAAGATGTGGTTTTAATTAGTTGGATATTTTTCAGAAAAAATTAATGGATGTTATTGATCATGTTCTTCCACCATTGGAACTTGGAAACAATGGAGTTCATGGTCACATGGAAGCATCTACACACAGAGGAATGGCTCTTTGGTTTCCAGAAAAAGCACTTCCAGTTGATGCTTTTATCACAGGGGCGCTGGAACTTGCTTTTAATGAAATGGTATGATAAGCAGATGGTAAACCCTGATGTATGAAAAGTTATTTGTGTTCACCTAAATTTACATTCAACTCTTATCAGGATGCTCAAATTGGCGAAGACAAGAAAAAATATGTTATGAAGGGAGGATGCACTTGTGTGGTAGCGTTGTTCATTGCGGGAAAATTATATGTCGCCAATGCTGGTGACTCAAGAGCTGTTCGCTGCTCCCTTGGAAAACCTTACCCTATGTCAAACGATTTTACTCCAAGTACAGAGCGTCGAAGACTTCAGCAATTGGTACGGTTGTAAAAGGACTTTCCACCCAACCCTGAATCCATTTGATAGTGCTCAAAGTAGTTATGCAGTTAAATGCTCAACTGTTCAAAATATTTGTTTTAATTCCTGCAGGCTGCTCATAAACCTGAGCTTCTTTCCGACAATTTCACCCATCTTGAGTACAATCCTCGACCAGGGCGAGCTTTAATGGGTCGTAAAATATTATACAGAGATGTTTTCATGACTGGCTGGGCATACAAAACCTGTGCCCCAGAAGACCTCCGCACCCCAGTTGTGACAGGAGAAGGAAAAAGAGTTAGTATTTGCACTTTTACTCACTGGAATTTCATATCTAAGTTTAAGTATTTTCATTTATAACTGCTTTTTTCCTCAGAGTCGCCTTCTTGCCACAATTGGTGTCACCAGAGGATTGGGTGACCATGAATTAAGATCCATCATTCATAACACTCCAATCAAACCATTTCTTTCCTCTCATGCTGAGGTTTGTAAAAGCTGAACAAATACATAATTAGGTAGGTTTATTACACGCCTTCTCTTTAAATGTTAGTTTTCTTGTTATTATTTTTGTAGGTCAAAATCTACAACATTGAAGCTCAGAAAATTAATGAATCGGATGTACTTGTCATGGGAACTGATGGTTTATGGGATGTAACTAGCAATGAGAGGACAGCTGAGATAGTCCAACACTCTCTTCAGAACTTTCCTTTTGGTGACAAAGCAAATGCTAAATATAGGTATGACAATTTTGTAATCTCTTGTTCATTATTTATCTGCACAGTAATGAATGATTCTATTACCGGACCATTATTATCATTTTTAGATTTACATCTGCTGCTCAAGATTTGGTTATGCACTCTCGAGGAAAACCAGAAGGTCATAACTGGCAAACTACTGGTGGTGCTCCTGGAACAATTGATGACATTTCAGTTTTTGTCATACCGCTTACTCCCTACAAGAGTGAGTGGGAAGCCTGGAAACAAAAAAATGAAGAACTGCGTCAAATTAAATCAGCCAAACTCCCAACTAGTAGCATCATTACATCTGAAGAGCCTCGCACTGACATGGATTTACAGTTTCCAGCAGATTCCTTACCAACAGGAAATCAGACAACTGGTCCCAGTGATAGAACTACAACACCTCTCCAAAATGGAACTTCTTCCTCCAGTATACCTATTGAAGTGTTTGTATCCCAACCTGATGTAGCAAATGCTTTAGATCTGCGTCTTGCAGAGATTAGCCTCGATGCTGAGGAAGTTTTAGCTCCTGAACCAGAAGACACAATTGTAAGCAATGGTGAATCTTCAGCTGCAACTGGAGATAATGCAGATCCCACCTCTCCAAATTATTGTGAACGTTAGGATTTCTAGGCAAATTGACTTATCAGATTGATTCTGTATCAAACATGTTCTCCATCATGAAAATGTCAGAATTTGACTCTAAATGTTGTCAGGCACTGTTTATCAAATAAATGTATGTACGTAACTGAGAGACAGCACTCATAGAATAATGTTAGATAAATGTTCTGCAAGGTGTGATACATCATACTGGCTGTGGTTTGTTGCTGTGCTTCAGTAAATCTGTAAAATTAAGCTCTGATTTTCATTTGTTTGCATAATTTAAAACTCAAAATTTCAGTTCATTCTCTTTCCATTCATTGCTGTCTTCATACATTTTAATGTATTTTCTTCTAGTCTCATTCAGCAAGAAAGTAATGTAGTTATAGTAACAATCTTTGACAGGTGAGTCAAATATTTTTTGGGAGGATTCCGTTGGTTTCCTTTTCATTTAAATGGAAAATTGTAACTGCCCTTATACATATTTTATCATTTATTCATCTACTTGGTAGGTTAAAAAGTCTGTTGAGTAGTTGTTGTAACTACTTGACTCTCCCAAATTAATTTTAACCTGTAGTTTTAATAACTACTGCCTGGGTAAAATGATCAAGTAAGCTTTAAAGTGTCTAAGAGTCATCTATTGTAAGAGGAACCATACTGGACCTCTATTGCTGCATTTTTATTACCGGTATTTCCTATTAAAGCTCATCAATTTAAAATGTGTATTACATTTAAACTAGAATGATCAAACCAGCACAAGTTTTGTATTAATTGGAGTTGCCATATTGCATTTCAACTTTTACCTACAAATGTTGTCATTTACCTGGCTTCACTTTTAACATGTTCTCTGTAGTTGGTCTTCAAAAGCTCATTCAAAGTCGACAGGGTCAAAGCATATAAATTCAGTGTTTTCAAAAGAAAAGTACACATATATGTCTATTCTTGGCACTGTCCTATTTATGTAGGCATTAGAAGTATTTGGACTCAAAGATGAGTTAGCAGATTGTATTTTCTATTGTTATATTGCCTGATCAAGCTTAATGTACTCTTGTAGTTACTTTCAAAGATGACTAGTTGTGGCTTTGTTATTGAGAAATACTGATAATCATTCCCATGCATTCACTTTTGATAAACAGTTATTTTTGTTGTTGTTGTTTTTTCTAGGCTAACATAAATGAACCGTTGTGATAGGATACTGTGGGTCATATATATACTCCTGCATTGTCTTTTTCAGCTTTTAAATTTTCACAGTCTTTGCTGTGTGTTGTTTAGGAAAGTAATTGTTGACATTTTCCCATTTGTACATATTTTTGTATACTGTACAATGTCATTTGCATAGTTTTGTGATCTATAGTATATTTTTGTATTTAAGTTGGAATTTGTTATCCTGGTTTTTTACTCTCAAAGACATTTATTCAGTGTAGATTTAATAAGAATTTTCAGGTGGATCTTGTATGCAACCAGTAATACCCCCACCTTAGTTTTTCTTTTTTCATGTTTCAGCCCAATGTTTTTTAACTGTTAACCAAGTATTAAGTTTTTTGGAGTTTCTGTTAGATAATCATTTAAAATTGTGTATTTAGTTTGGCTTTACATTCCAAATTTCAGTATTTAGTCTTCAATCAAAACTGTTCTACATGTGTTCAAAATTAGCCTGTACTCATTATCTGCCAAAGATTTGTTGTTTGAATAGATCGCAGATCATGTTCCAAACTTGATAAATGCTATTATCTTTGTGATGTATTTTAATGAATATTTTTTTTCTATAGACTAGTGAGTTTATGTCATCTTTGGGTTGATTTGTCTTGATGTCATCTTTGGTACAGTGTGAACAGTTTTCTTGTTTCGAGAAATAGGGGTTGATGTTATTGGACCCACCATCCATCGTATTGTTTTATATCATTAACGTGTGTATGAGAAATAAAAGTGATGTGAAGTACTTAAACACGCTGGTGACTTGGGTTCCTTCCCTCCGCGACGCCTCTAGTTACCTAGTGTCGGGGACCGGGACTTCCACCTCCATCCGCATAACCTTTCCGAATCGTCGTGCCGGCAAAGCGAGAGGAGCGAGCATCGCGCCGGCGAGCGCCGCGCGGAGGGTGGAGGGCGGGGAGTCCTGGCCGAGCCGACTGGTCCTGACTGACCCGACCCCTGCGGTCCTGCGCTGCGGTCTAGCGCCTGAGCCGGGCTGAGCCGGGCCGGCCTTTTAGTCGGTGCTGGATGCTGGCGCCCGCTGGACCGGACCGCCACTGGCTGGAGGCCGCGGGTATATTGCAGAGCCCCCCTGCCGAGCTGCGCGGCGCGGGCGAGGACTTCCCCCGGCCGGCGCTTCGCGTCCCACTGCTGCTGCTAGCGTCCCACTGCTGCTACTTCTTTGCTGCTTCCCCGCCAACGGCGCTCTCAGTCATGATGCCGAAAACTACGGGCGTCACTTGCTAGCAGAACTTGCGGAAGACGACAAGAAAAATCATCGCAGGAGAAAGCAAAACGCTTCAGGTGAGGGCAAAATTGTGATGCTGTGCTTAACCAGGCGTCTACTTTGTGCTTAAGAGAGGTACATGCGGTACGTTTTGATCTACAGTAACTCACGACGTGCTCTACGGTATGGTTGCGTCGTGTAGTCGGAGCAATTCCAGGCCGGGTTGTCCGTACGTCACTCGAATATTTGCGAGTGTCCATTTTTTACAATGTCTCCCTGGAATCGCCCTGTGATATACCAGGCGAATGAAATACAGCGTCGTCCGAACTCGTGCCGATGCTTATTTAGTTATTCCGTGCCGCACGTGTGTGGATGGGCTACCTTAGCTCTGGGCCGTAAGGCGCAATGGTCACATGCAATAACTACAGGCAAACCAACCTGCTCGCTTGCACGCAGTACGGTTTAAGTACGAATGTGGGTGGTTTTCTTTAGGCCGCACAAATTCTTAAAACACATTATGAGACGTGTAAAAGTAATACTTATTCATATGGAGATTTGAAACGCGCATATGTGTCCAACGACACCTATAGTTAAGCCAATTATAGCGACCTCATCCGATGTGCCCCGTTTTATGTGTTATCCCCGGCAGATCCAAACCCGAAAGGGACCGGGCTCACGCGAATCTAGGAATGTGATTCGGGTGAGTGAATGCACTCCCAGTAACGTGTCTGCCCCCCCCCCTCCAAAGTGTTGTGGGTGGGTGCCAATAAGCCCCCCAGGCCTCCCCGACAGTCTCACGGGCTAATCACACTGTTCCTGGGCACGCGAGAGTGTTGTTGCCCCGATTGAAGGGAAGGCCGGGCCGGGGGGGCCCTTCGGCATGAGAAACCAGGAGAGTGGTAAAAGAAGAGGACAGGTGCCGCGGAGGGAGGGAGAGAGGGAGAGAGAGAGAAGGGGCGGGGAAGGCATGGGCGGATCAGTCTGCCACACACATATTAAGTTTGGACAGGGCCGGGGCCGAGGGGGGTCGGGAGGGGTCAGGGGTCACAGGTAATGGCCCTCTCGGTACTGCAGTACCGCCCGCTCCCCCTTCCACCCGCCTGCCCCACCGCAGGCCGGGGCCCCTCGCGCGGGAGCAGCGCCATACCGCGAGGGGGATAAAAGGATATTTGGGGAAACCAGTTGTATTAAATATAAAGAAAGCGCACGCCGCCGACCGGAGAGAGAGACAGAGAAGTTCGGCGCGAACGCGAAAAGGGTCGTGGGGAGCGTGTGTGTGCGTGTCGCACGGGCGTGCGTGTGGAGCCTGGAGCTTGAACTTGACCCTCGCCGTCGTCAGCAGCCGCGTTTATTATCGTGCGTGCTGGCCCTTGCCTCCCTCAGCCCCGGAAGTGGGCGCATCCCTGGAGCAAGTCTGGAGCCCTGGAGGTCGAGGTGCGTGGGCGAGACCAGAGGGAGGACCAAGGCTCGAGGGGGAAGAGAACCCAACCCAGCGGGCCCCGCGCGGCCGCGCCCCGCCCCGCCCCGCCGGCCGCACGCAGCGCCACCTTGCCTCGGACCAGGACCAGTACTTATCGGGGGAGGAGTCCTCGGGGTCCGCCCGCACCGCACCGTCCATACGGTCCATACCCATGAGCCCATCTTGGCCGTCGATCACGGGATGGCTCGTGGCGGGGCGGGGCGGGGCGGGGCGCGCCGCAGCCGCAGGCCGCCTGGACGAGACGGCACGATTGTTTTCTCGTGGAAACGCTGCTCTGCTCAATCGCTTCGACCGGCTGGCCAGTCGGGCCGGGCCGGCGGGGCGGGGCGGATACGTGGGAAAAGGGAATGATTACTGTGACGTCATGTTCCTCGCTTATCCTTGCATGCTCGCTTCATAGCAGGTCGATATGTAGGTGGGATATCGACACCAGGCAGGCACGCACGCAGGCACGCATGACGCCCCCCCCCCCCACACACACACAATACCGCTGTAATTTATCGCAAGTTTCGGTCACCGCTTTACGACCGGGTGCCACTGCTGCCGCCGCTGCGCCGATACTAAAAAGATGATAGACGTCCCCCAAAACAGCCCACCGGGCCTCCGGGCGGACTTTAAGGGCTTTAGCCCCCCCCCCCCCCCCCCCCCCCCCCTCCCTCCGCGTCATCGAAGAGCTGCTGTTCGATTCGGCAGTCGCCAGGACCGCCCGAGACCGTTTAGTACTGCACACGACGGCACCGCGAAAGAAAGTGTTGCGGTACTGTCTTTTCCGCTCCCTAAAACGACCACTTTTTACAACTCTTCGCCGTCGGTCTATTAGTTTTCCATTAGGTGACTACTTCCCGCCTTCTTCTTTTTATAGCCCCAGTGACACGCACACGTACAAAAAGAAATGTAATCGGTCGGAAGACGTGTGGGTCTTTGCGGCCCCCGAGGGGGGGGGGGGAGTTGAGGGGGGGTTACTCCGTGATTTATCTGCGGCCCGATCCGATCTAAGCCGACACACCCTCCTGCAATGAGGAGGAACGAGGCGGGAAACGAACGGGTGTGGGAAGCAGAGGATCCTCCGCCTCTGGTCGAAACGCAACGCTCACCGATAGACGGGGGAAGGGGCCTCTGCTGCTCGCTCAAGTTCGATCGACGTTTGGCATTAATGGTCTTATTCGGGTGTCGCCGCCAGCAGACTGATTCCGAAGAGCGCTCAAGGGGAGCTGCACCATGAGTGCGACAAGGACGGAGCAATACGGAAGGTGTAGGAGAGCGCTCTTCGGAATCAGTCGGCAGATTTGGTCTGCGAGAGAGAGAGAGAGATGACGATAATTCAGAACAAACAAACGAAACGGTGTGGTCCCGTTGCGTCTCCTGTCCAGTCATTGGGCAAGGCAAGTCAAGTCAATAAGGAGGCGAACGCGGGGGAGTGTGGGGCCTCCAGGTGTTTGCTCAGGTGGCGCCGCAGGTGGCGCAGGTGTGGTGTGTGCTGTGCGCATCAGGGAACTCCACCGGCTCATCAGAGAGCCGCGTCCGCGGAGTCCCGGGGAATCAATCCCTCCCTATCGACCTCTCTCTCTCACACACACACCCGCCCTTCTCATCCCCCCCTCCCCCCTCAGCGCTCATTACCGAACCAATGCTGCTGTTTCCTCAGCCAGGTGCAGGCTTCTTGCGATTCGGCTCGATTCAATTGCCCCGCCGTTCTCCCCCCCCCCCTACCCCTTCTCTCTCCCTCTCTCTCTCTCTCTCTCGCTCTCTCGCCAGTCGCCTGGGAGAGGTGCGGGGGCGGAGTGCGGGGGCGGCCGGCCCGGTACCGTTGTAATCGTTGTGCCGGTAAGGCACCGCGTCCCAGCCCCGGCCCTGGCTGGCCCGGGCGCGCTCACTCCCACTGCGTGCAGGACAGCGTGCAGGACGGCGTGCAGGACGGCGTGCAGGACGGCGTGCAGGGACGGCCACTGACGGAGGCGACCTCCTTGTACTGCTGCAGGTGCGGCAGGATGGGCGCCACCAGCTCGTCGCGGTCCGCGCGCCGCCTGCTGCGGGGCCGGCTGTGCTCGCTCTGCCCCTCGCGAGGTGCCGCCGGCGGCGCCAAGGGGGCCGAGGCCGGCGGCACTGCGGCTGCCGCGCACCAGGACGACGCCGTCATCGTGATGCCCCTGGACAACCCACCGGACGTCATTGGAGCGCACGAGAGGTAAGGACGCGCCCGCGCAGGACAAACGAAGCGAAAACAGCGGCGAAAACGCGACGGAGCTGCTGTTCACCTCCTGCTCTCGCTCGCATCGCATGGGTGCGTAGTGTTTTCAAAATCCTGGACACATTCCAGCGATGGCGCCCCCGTCCTGCCTGGCCCCGCTCGATCGCGATGGCCGATTCCAGTTTCCCCCGCGTTTTTACGGCTCTGCCTGACCAGCCGTGCCGCGCCCGCCCCGCGCGGCGCGCCGCGACGAGCAGATCGAATTTCATTTCCAAGTTCTCAAGCGACGCGAAGCAAACTTGATGGTCTTGTCATCGCGCTGGTTTCGTTACTTTCGGATGGAGATGCCAGCGGCAGCTGCAAGATGCCAGCCGCTGCTGGATGCCTTCGCCGGGCAGCTGACCGGCAGCCAGCACGGCGGGGAGAGTGGCGCGGAGGTTTCCTGGTTACTTGTGGCGGCGGCGCGGCGGGGGGCGAGGGAAGACCACGGGCACTGACAGGGGAGGGGGATAGGCTGGAGCAGCGCCCCCCTCTCCCACCTTGAACGGCCGCATCGTGGGAAGGCCGTGTCCTGTCGGTGTCCAGTCAACTAGCCGAAGAAGAGGATCCCGATCAATAACACTGAGCAAAAATAAGGAAAATAAAGAGGGCCAGAGGAAGGGGGGAGGGTGTGTGGGATCGTGCACGCCACGCTGGGCCGGCGGCGGCGGCTCGCGGCCGCTTTGATAGCGGTCTGGCCCGGGACTCACGACCACGGTCCAGCCTCCGCTTATTAAACACTTATGCCCTCAGCGGCGGGTGGGGCATCAGGGCGAGGGAGCGGCCCGGCGGCAGTCGTGCCTTCACTGTGCTGTCCTACAGGTACTACAGCCCCGGCGGCTACCCGTACGGCCTGGACGGCCTGGCCGGCAGCCTCCCCGGCCGGACGCTGGCACGCACCCTGCCCACGCAGCACCAGCACCCGCCCTGGCCGCCGCGCCAGGACCGCCAGCACGACGCGGGGAGGACCACCGCGAGGACCTGCTCCACCACCACGCCCTCCTCCAGGTCCAGGTGGGTGGCAAGCGGTGAGATGAGTGTGTGTGCCAACGTGATAGGGTGCTGGACCCCGGCTCTGCCTCGCTCTGCAGGACGGAGGCCCGGTCCGGATCGTCGTCGCCGCCCTCGCGTCAGCCGCACAGCCACAGCCGGCGGCACCGGCACCACCGCGGCCGCTCCAGCAAGCCCTCCAGCGGGTGCTCCAGGTCCAGGCCCTCCGCCAGGTCGCCCCGGCATAGCAGGGCCGCGCAGTCCAGGGCCTGCTTTGGGTACGACATAGAGGACGTGGACGGATTCCTCGCCAAGGTAAACTACTAGTGCATTCTGTCTTGCTTGCGCCAGCTCTGCTACACTCTCGACATGATTCGCCCGTCGACTGCCTGCAGGCCTCCATCCAGAGTCCGGCCAACATCCCCATGGTGCTCGCCGCCGCCTGCACGCTGTACCGGACGCGGGAGGGCGGCTGGCAGGAGGAGGTGAGTGTCCCTGGCCCGGACCCGCGTGCGTGTCGAGACCGTCTCTACCACCCCGTCTACTGTTCGCCGCCAGGTGCCCCTGCCGCTGGGGATGGTGGTCAACGGCGTGTTCCGCGCGTCTGGCTGGCTCTACGCGCAGACCCCCCACGGCCACGAGGGCTACGTCCGCTACACGTCCTGCCTACCGCTGGGCATCATCCCGCCGCAGCGCGCCGAGGCCGCCGATGAGGCCCCGACCAGGGTGGCCGAGGTCCGCGCCGCGGCCGCCGCCGCCTCCTCGTCGTCGCCCTCGCCGCGCGGCGCGGGGCAGAGGCCGGGCCCCTGCTGGGACACGGCCTCAGACATCTTCCCGTACCCGGCCCTGTGCTCGGGCAACAGGACGGACACGGACAAGATTGGGGACACGCGTTCAGAGAGGTAAGCCCCCGCTCGGCCGGCGCTCCAGTTCCCTCCGGTGCCCTCGGCAGGCAGAACCCTGACCGGTACTTCCCTCTCCCGCAGTGCGTACAGCTCCAGGCGGCCTGCCGCTGCCGCCGGCCGGGGTCGCCGTGCGCTCAACCTGGAGCACCTCCTCGAGGCCCGGCGCGCGGAGCAGAGGGTGGACGCCCTCTACATCCAGGCCTGCACCGGCGGCTCCGCCGTCTGGGCCGCATCCACCACGGCGTCTTCACGACCGGGCACGCTCGTGGTTGTACAGAGAACGTACACCGGCTTCGGCCTCAGTCTAGCGCGGGGCGACGTCGTCGCCATCTTGGAGAACGAGGACAGCGGGTGGCTGCGAGTCCAGGACCGTCACGGAAGGGAGGGCCTCGTGCCAGCCTCCATAACAGACAGCGGATATTTGTAGGCTTTAATTGCGTCCTTTGTTGCCAGCATAGTGGGGGAATGGAATAAAAACGAATTTGTGATGTCTGAAAATGCCTTTACTGTGTTATTTGACACTTTCATAAAAGCCTGACGGTCAAATTTGGAATGGACATTGATACTGGAGCACACCAATAGCACAGTGAGATACATCAAGCATTTGGCAGAGAAAATATTACAGAGTCTACATTACATAAAATAAAATTCACCGAGTAAAAAGGACCACCCCTTCTGTAAAAGATACAGCTGATGCACTGTGTACATTCAAAAATGAAAAAAATCAATATTGAAAGCAAATGATCTTAGAATGCAGACAAACACTATGAAACACACAAAAAAAAACTCAGTAGAGTGTCAAAATACTCATTAATGCATCCTATGAATGCAGGAACAACGCTCCATTACTGTATGTAAAGGTTGCTAATTAATGTCATGTAGATTGACATTTGACACTGCCTACAGAAATGCCAAAGAGTTAAATACAAATTTTCAAAAAAACGAAAAAAATAATAAGTGCTATCACTCTTTCCTTGGCACAGAAAATCACTTCCCTTCACATGAAGGCAAATGGTAAAACAAATAAATAATAGGATAACACAGGCATTGCAGAAGTTGCTGTATTACACATGATGAAATAGAGCTTTTAAGGTACATGGTTTATCAAAGCTCCAATTATATTAATTTAGTGCAAATTATGTTTCCAGCTCACTGGGTACAGGGCAAAGTACATAATATTCTCCATAAGAAAGTCAAGGAAACAGGCACACTTACTACACCAAACTAAAACATACAGAACCAGGTTTAATTTGTTTACAGACATTAAAATATGCACTCTGCCCCTATCCATTCAAAAATGGATGATTGATTTGTGGATTCTAAAGAATAAAATTAACAAAGGAAATTCCTACAGTCCTACAAAGTTTTGGATTCATTTAACATACAGGCACAGATACTCTTCACACACATTCAGTCATACATGCATTCATTCATAAATTCATTCATCCATCCATCCACAAAATATTCACAATCACACTTAGCATCACATTCACACATGCATGCATGTCTTAAATTTTTCCAATTGAAAAATTTATGATATGCCCACATTAACAGAAGGTCACTGAGTGCACTTCACAAATTTCCCTCTAAAAACTTAGCCCACTGAACACTGAGTTTCAAAAGTCAGTTCACTTAGAAAGGCCCCACTGGCCATCAGAATCAGTCTTCAACTTTTCCCACCTCATTTGCAGGGTTACTTCAAAACCCCATTTCAGCATCTATAAATTACACTTGAACTGCAACAGCTTCAGAGTCTAATGAAGAACTAGCAGCAGTGTCCTCAGACTCTTTCTTGATCTTCTTTTCGGGCTGCTCATGCTCTGCACCATTGGAACCATCTATTTCAGTTGCAGCTCTTTTAGCTGAATTTGATGTGCTCACTTCATCACTAGGTACTTCTTTGCTCTCTTCTTTAATGCCATCAACTTCAGCTTTCACCTTGCATTTTCCTTCAGCTTCAGAAGCTGGGTCCGCTTTCTCATTCTTGACTGGATTTTCAAACACGCTGTCACTAGTCAGGGTGACAGGAAGCTTGGAAAGTTCTGGCCGGAATTTAACTATGACAGCAGTCATATTATCACAACCAGTACCATCACCCAAGGTGTTGGGTGCCAGACAGTGATCAAAGAGCTGAAAATTTTAAAAAAAGGATTATATGGTTGTTTTGAAAATGTGTGATGAAGGAAGTAAAACATGACAAAACAATACCTCTTCACAAATCTGGGAAACTATGAGTTTTCCATCCTGAATCCTCTTACGGACAAAATCAACCACTTCTTGGCTTGATAAATAATTCCAGATGCCATCACAGGCCAAAACCATAAATTCATCTTCATCTGGATTGATTCTTAAGGTCCTAACATCAGGTAAAGCCGTAATCATTTGCTCAGTATCAGACTTCTCTTTATTTTGCTTGTAAGCATGATCACCTTGAAAAAGAGTAAGCGCGTAATGTGAAGATCACTTGTAAAATATAAAAAAATAGTTTCAACAAAACAAAAAGCTATCACTTACCTATAGCACGTGAAAGGTTGAGCCCACCATTCACTCTCCCATCGCATGTTACTTTGCCGCCAGCATTGAGAATACGTTGCCACTCAAGAGGATCTTCTGGTTTGTGATCGAGGCTCATTTCAATTGCAGTTCCATTGCGGCAGACCACACATCGTGAATCACCAGCATTTGCCACATACAAGTCTCTGCCTTTAAGAAGGGCAACAACTGCTGTGCAACCACTATCAGCTCCAGGCTGAAAAGTAGTGAAATATTAGTTTTCTAATAACAAACAAGCAATCTGAAGAAATAGACAAAAATTACCTCTTCTTTCATTCCACCCATTCCAAACTCTTCACAATCCTCATCTTCTTCTTCATCCTCCTCTTCGTCCATGCTCTCTTCCTCTTCATCCTCACTTTCATCTTCCTCCTCATCTTCAGCTGCTTCATCAACATCCTCATCGCTGAGAAAAATAGACAGGATGCTTAGACAAAGGAGAACCTCAATAGACCAAGTTTTAACAATATTAAAACTTACCTATCATCAGCACCAGCATCAAAAGTTGTATCGTCTTCATCTTCAGAGTCATCATCAGAATCATCATTTATTATCTTTGAAGCTTTAATGAGATTGCGATACATCTGAAGAGTGCTGACCCTAGTTGGTCGCTGCATCTTTGGTCGTTTGAGGGATTCCTCCTAGAATGCAAAGGCTCTTTAGATTTAACTAATTACAACAAAGAGGATTACACAGTAAAGCTTGCACTGGATTATACCTCAGCTTCAGGATCAGGGCGAGGGGATTTGTCCTTTGCCTTGCCTTTGCCCTTCACTCGAACTTCTTGCTTTGGAGATACTTCACCATTTGTGCAAGAGTCTTTGGATGGCGAACTAGAAGACACTGCATCAGTTTTACTACAACTATCGCTCTCTTCCTGCAATGTAGAAATTTATAGTTCAGTTGAAAAAATAAGCTCAGTAGATACAGGCATCCATAAAGTTATAGATTGTATACCTTTTTAATTTCATGATTTACTTCTCCATTTACTTCTTTTTTCTCTGTACTATCCACAGCACCATTTTGGGAGGAACCATTGCAACTGCTACTTCCACTGGATACAACTGCCTCTTCTTTCACTCCTTCAGCAGCCTTCTCTGATTTAACTCCAACATCACCAGATGATCCAACATCTTTATCATCCTTGATTTTAACATCACCAGACGACCCTACATCTGGTGATGGGCTGTTAGTCTGTGTATCTAAAAAATTTCAAATTATGATTTAATTTTTTATACAAACCACAAAAATTGCATAAAAATACGATAAAATATACTAGCATAAGTCCCAGAATAAGCCTAAATGATATAAAATACCTGGCACATCATCGCTTGAGTTTACTTCATTGGAATTTGAAGCTCTTGCTGAAGAGCTTGAAACTTGGTCAGCACTAGCTGAAGATGAACTGCAACCTGAACCAGAGCCTGAACTTGAAGCAGACGGTCCATCAGAAGAACTTGAACAACCAGCAGCTGAACTGGTTCCTCTTTTGGGTTTTAAAGCTGGAGAAGGAGGTATGCTCCCTGGAAAAAAGATATAATGATTGATGGATAGATTCGGGCATAAATACATCCTAATGTGTGAAAAAAATTACGTCAACAGTCATACCATCTTTAAGCTTCTTCAGCCCGCCAAGTCCACCCTCACTATGATATTTGGCAAGAAGTTCTTCTATGGGCATAGAAGCCTCTTCTTTGAGATTGCTCATATCATCATCATCGTCGTCATCTTGAGGAGGGGTAAAATAACAAATATAGAACTAAAGGTATAGTTGCATGGCAAAGTCTTTCTCAAAGCGAGTTCACACTAACCTGTTGACTGTCCATCTTCACCACTTTTAGCTAACTCCTTGAGAACAGAGATGACTTCTGGTTTGGTAAGGGTATTGTCAAAGCCCAAGAACGCTTGTTTTAAAGCTTCAATAACCTCCCCCTTTTTATATTGATCCATGTTCTTGAGGAACTTTGGGAGATGCTCAGCACAATATGCTGCAACCTCATGACCTCCGTGCCCATCATATACCGCAAAAAAAGAGGTTCCATCATCGAAGTTTAAAACGGCATTGTGTGCATCCTGAAAAAACCCACACACATTAAATCGATGCCCTCTGCAGTTAACGCAAAGAAAATTCACTCACTACCAGGCAGAGTAAACGTAAGCATCCCAAAACTATTCTAGTGGCCAAAACTCAAAGAAATGCATCTGTGATAAAACATAACCCAAGCCTACTATTGATTGGACTGTAGCCTAGGACAAAGCATGGCTCAGGAGGGCTAGCCGAGCATTACAAAGGCAAAAGTGCTGATTCTCAGTATTCCGGAACTTTGATAGGGAGGCGTCATTAAAGATCGGCCCCACCCATAGCAACAATGAACATGCAATATTAGTGGCCGTGGGGAGGGCGGCAGCTACACCGGCAAGGCTAGGCCCGAGCCCAGGCCGGCCGCCAACACAAAGGCACATTGGTGGGCGAACAGAGGCGCACCGGTACGGTTCCAACTAGGAGCCAGCGCCTCGCACGCGTGCAAATGCCGACATAGAGTCACAGGGGCCCCGGCGCCCCCTTGTCAAGAGCAACGAACACTTCTAAGGGGAAAATCTCACCTCCTGCGTCATGCGCCAGCCTTGCATGGAGCTGAGCCCGCACTCGAGGTACTCGTTGGTTTCATCACTGGATGCCTTTTCGGTCAACGGCTCTGACAAGTAGGCACCCATGGCAGCGAAAGTAGACGGACTGGCGGCGACGGTTGGGACCAACAGGCATCAAAATAATCACTGCGGCGAGGGCTCGGCGAGGTCGCGCACAACAAATCGCGGGAGACTTGCACGACACTACGCGGCCATAGTCAACGACCTGCGTAAGATGTAAGGTCGGGGCGAGTAACTTTAGAAAAATTTTGCCGCGTGGGGGACCGACGCGGGCGCGCTCTGTACGGCCCAGCGCCAAAGTACGTTTGAATGGATCGGTGCGAGTCAACGATTCTAACACCCCTTTCCTTTCACGAGCACAAAATGTAGTAGGACGCTGGAATGTAATGACAGGCGGAAAATGGGTCTGCCGCTCAAAGAGGTATTAGTTAAATGGTTGGTCAATTGGTCAATTTGGTAGAAAAAAGGGCACCAACTTTGTCACACACAACACACGATGTTCTTCTATGAGTGCTAGTGTGAAAGAAAATATCAACGTGAAAGTAAATTTTAGTCGACATCTATTCGACCTCGGTTATAGTCCACCAAATGTAGTTTTGCTGTTTTCTTGGGTTTTGACAGAAATTCTTTACTTGTGTGGAAACTTGTCATGTTTATGAGACTGACTCATGCAACAACACAAACAACAACAAATACAAACTACAGCAGACTACAGAAACATGGCTCCCCCGAATCTCTGTGGCCTCTGGCAGGTTCGTTTATTTCTCGTGTTTTTTGCGGAGAAAATTGAAATAAAGAGTTGCTTCGTTGATTTTTAGAAAGCCGTCTTTATCTTTTTCTATCCGGCAGAAGTGTTGTCTTGTATAATGATAACCATTATTTCTGTGCGACTCCTCGTTCACCGAGCGCCTGCTTGTGTCAGTTTATGAAATGTCAACTCAATTCTCTCATGATCGTTTTCTTCTTTGCGACCATGTCATTTTCATTTAGCTAAATTTTCTCATTGAAGGAATTTACATCGTCTATGTTTACCCACTTAAACCACTCTCCTACAGTCATTTACCTCCCCTACGATATTTTCAGCTTTTGTTGTTTTGGAAAGATTTCTCCATGCTCTAATCTCAGTTCTTAAAGTATTTTTTTGCTTCACTTGTTGTCTGTTGACTGCTCCAGATAGTGAAATGTGGCCAGCCGAGTGCAGCAGATTGCAGCTGTGGCAAGAAATATGGGATAGAGGGGTGAGTTACCTTCCTAATTTCCCAATTAAATTTAGTATTGTTCAGTATTGCTATTATGAAGTACAACAATCTTTTTTTTTCTCTATTCTAGAACTACATTTCAATTGAGCGATACAGGAGATGTTTCTTGGAAACCGTCGGAGGGTGCCAAAGCCAATCCCATCTTAAACTGTGATACTTACGAGATTTACAACCCTAGCCATCACTCAGCAGTTATTCAATTTGGTGCCCACATTGGTCATGTTATTGAATTCAAAGTAGGAACCGCATTACTACAGTTCTTTTTTTTTTTTTTTTTTTTTTTTTTTAAATCTCTGTATACTTTGGATTTTTTATGAGTATTTTTTTTTTCTTTTTTGTACCTGTAGATGGAAGGTTTTGAACCTCCGTTTGATCACATGACTTTAAGAAATGACCTCTGGTGCTGTTTACAATGTAAACGTATTCCAGCTGAAGAGCTAGAGCCACTTCTTGATGCTTCTTTCTCACTTCTTCCTGCATTGGAGGATGGCTACTTTTCTGATATATCCATTCCTGCCATCAGTGGAAAACAAGTATGCTCTTATACAATATTAGTAGCATTTAAGTCTCAACATCTGAACAAGATTGCAAAAAGAAAAATTCTATCTGATTTCAGTTTCCTGTCCATTCTTGTATTCTTTCGCTGAGCTTGCCAGACGTTGACTGGAGTCAGACAAATACTCCACTCTCTGGTCTCCCAGAGGATGTCTTGTGTGCAATACTCCACTATCTCTATGCAGAGTGTTTGCCAGATAACTTAAATGAGAAATGTGCACGTCAGATAATCACCTTGATGTCTGAAATACAGTCACCTTCTCTCTCAAAACTTATCAATATGTGTGAATTATACCTCAAGCACATGTCTCTCAGCAAAGGTGACTGGGGTGCCAATGTCTTATACTTACCTGATCATGGTGCCTCTATACTAATAACTTTAACTTATAGTTAACAAGGACAAATCTTCAATTTTGCTTTAAAATTTTATTTCAGAAATTATTGATCTTACTGAAGATATTCATGCCTGTGGTAATCAAATTATTGAACATTTTTCTGGTACTAAAACATCTTCATCTCAAGGATTGGACAGTTTGAAGAGTAATCCTTCAAAATTGTGCTATGTTTTAAAACAGTGTATTCGAGAATGTGCAGTTGGTAGGTATATGTTGAAATTGTGATATCAGGCTCCCCATGTATCTTTGAAATTTTTCTTAGAATTCAAAATCGTAAACAGGTCTGGGAAAATATGCTGTTCTTTGTCACCTCATCACTGCCAGAAAGAAAGAGCTTACACCGGGAGAACAGATCGAAATAATTCAATATGCTAAATCAAGACTCCCTGTGTTTTTGAAACAAGTTCATCAGCTTATGAAAGCTGTCAAGTCAAATTTTCATGGAATGACCTCCATGCAGAGGTTTGATATAGCAACATATGTTGTCCCACAGGTACAGATATTTTCTTTTTTTTACATGCTATTTCTATTTTCTTAACCTGGATCTGCCAGAGTAGGTGCTGTTCAGTTCAAGCGGGATACCACTAAACATTTATTTGTTGCAGATTGAATCAGTCCTTGATATAGTTTCAGCCATTGCATTGGATGTAAAAACTGCTATGGAGGCCATCATCAATGACAAATGTCCTAATGTACAACCTCTACACCCCCCTCACAAAAGTACACATTGCTCTGATGATGTACTGTCAACAACTCTTAATGCTGTGAGTATTGATAATAGAATGAAAAAGGGAGAGTTTCATTTTCATTTTGGCTTCATAACATCTCAATGACATCTCCTCTGTTTGTGTTACAGATTCTGAATTTAAAAGAAATGAGCAAATTGAGAAGATTCCATCAATGGATGACATATAGTTTAGCTTGGTTGTTGCAAAGACGGTATGTAGTGCTTTATCTACTAACTTATTATTATTTTTTAAAGACCAAGAGAGAGAAAAAAAACATTTTGAAGAAAAGAAAAAAGTATCATTTATTACAAAAATCTATTTTTTAATTTTTTGTAGGGAAAATTTTAATGACATGTCAAGTGTGAATAAAGTTCGTTCAGTGGCACGTAACTTGGACCAAATTATGGAGGAACTGCCTGTTTTCCTACTTCGTGTTCAAGATGTTGACGATAAATTAGATTGGAGAGAGTTTAAATTTATCTTTAAAATTGCTGCTTCTAAAACTGTATGTACCATTTCTGCCACTCTTTTTGTGATGCTGTTATACACAGACATTTTTAAAATACCAAATGTGTTTCCTGTTATATTTTTAGTCTGGCTGGATTGATGTTATGCTATCCCACAAGGAGCTCTTGCAGGATGTATTTGATCAAATATCTAATCTGGTTCAACGTGAAGAGTTTACCAAATCTTTGGTGACTTTAGGTTTAATTGATTCTTCTCAAAATGCTTGTAGCAGTCAGTATCCAGAAAACACCGAAAGTATTAATATGTTTGCTGGCCAAGCAGCAAGTTCTGAATGTGGACAAACAGAAGGAAAGGTATTTTTTAAAATTAATTTGCTTTGAAGAACAATACAAATTATTTGTTCTGATAGGGTTTTTTCACCAATTTACTCTCTTCTAGTTGAATTTACTGCAGTCTGTGTGCACCTCCCCTTCAGCTCAGAAAAGTTATATTTCAAAACAGATGCTTCCTTTACTATCTTCAGGACAAGGCTGTGATATGGTGTTTGAGGTCATTTCTACTAAAGGTGAGATGTTTTGTGCTAAATTTTTGTGATCTTTCTTAAAACAGATGCCCCAAATTCATATGATTTACATAATTTCATTTCACCTTAGATGTGGAGTCTAATGGAGATCAGCCAACAGACACAGATTCTCATAACAGCAGTACTGAGCCCAAGCATGAAGTTCATATTTTGAAGGCTCATAGAGTTATAGTTGCTGCTCGCTGTGACTGGTTCAGACGAGCTTTGTTGTCTGGTATGAGGGAGACTATTGATAGGTAAGAATGAAGTCATTGAATTTATTATCATGGCTTTAGTCACTTATGCTTGGTTTAAAAACTACCTTAATTTTAACAGAAAAATTCTGGTTCATGACACAAATCCAGCCTTGTTTTCTGTATTTTTGGAATACTTATACAGTGGATGCATAAACATCAAAGCTCTGAGTGTTGACCAGTTGGCTGACCTCATGATGCTTAGTGATCGTTATGAAGTTGATACGTTAAAGCAGGTTTGTGAATATGTTTTGAAAGGGCATGTTGACAGCGAATCTGTTCTTTACTTTCTGAGCTTAGCGGATCAATTCAATGCAAAAACTCTAAAGGTAAGTTACTTCTCTATTTTTCTTTGAGAAGAGTTCTATTTATTTGCCAAGGTCAGTTTTTCTCATGCTTTCTTATTTATTTTATTCCTACAGGAGGAATGTTTGACATTTGCCTCACACAATCCAGGAATAATGGATCATGATCTGTTTGAGGAGTTACCTCAGCATCTTCAGTCTGAGGTTTATGACTTAATAATATGGGTGAAGCCCTCGTAAGTTGAAACTTTGGAGTCGCTTCCCTAGTAAAAGATGCTTGCTGTGTGTGAAAATGTCATTTTCTTATTTCAGAATTGCTGAGCCACCAGAACCTTCAGAGCCGCGAGTGAAATTTTCCAGTCCAGACCTTTCATGTTCTTCTAGTTTAGAGGATTTAGAGGACCTAATGGCCAATATTCGAACAGGAACCACTCAGGTAAACATAATCATAATCATTACAATTTATCTTAGTTCTTATCTTTTTGACAAACTTGTTGAAGATGCTATTTTGTCAACTTTGTAGGCAAATCGTTCAATCAGTGATTCATTAGAAGAGCTTCCATTGGCTCAAGATTCCAGCCGTTTAGAAAGATGTTTAGCTGATCTCTATGACATTGTCGGTGATGATGCTCCACGCCATGAACTCGCTCAGGTAAGTTATAAAAGGAAAGAGTTAGCAGACATGTTATGCAAGGCTATATTTTGTAATTAAATGGTATTTTATAGATTGCTATGGCTGCTGATTATGATGTGAATCGGGCAGCAAACTTCTATTTTGAACAAAAGAAGCAATCTTGAAACAGGAAATCAACATGACTCACAGGTCTCTGGAGGTGTCACCATTCTTGACTCACATGAAAGAAATGTTTTGAATTTCATCTGAGGTATGGGTAAAGAGGAGATTTGAAAAAATACTATTGTTGTCTGCAGGAAGAAGGAGAAACTCTGTGTAGATACATACCCTGGGCTGTAATTGGGATGTGCACATCCTAAATTTTATCATTGTTGAATGTTATGCTATTTATTTTCAACAAAAATTTAATATCAATATTTCTTTTCCATTAGATGAGACTGTATGTAAGTAAATGCACTTTTTCACTTCACTTATCTTTTATATATATACATATATATACCTACATTTCTATATCAATATGTACTGTATTAACTTTTTAATGCTTAATAAGAGACAAATAACACCAAGATCTGTGTTTGGTAACTCTAGTAAGCAAAACTGAACAGGCTTGACAGTTGCTTTTCAGTTTAAATTATTTCAATTATTTCTGCACCCTAGAAAAAGAGAAATTATACACAGGTTTTCTTATTTCTTCTTTCAGAGTCTTGGTCTGTTTCATCAATGTGATTTTATTTTTTTTCTATCAGAGGCTTTTCAAAGCTCCTACTGCTTAACTAGAATTTGGTTGTTTCATTCTTAAAAAACAACTTGTTCAAGAGCTATTGCTTTTATTCTTCAGTGCCGAGTGGCCTGGGCCCTAATTTACTTCTTGGAGCTCCAATGAGCATTTATGATCCCCTTATTCTGTTTAGAACTGAATTTTAGTAAGTAATTCAATCGAGTTCTAAAACACGTTCTTATACATTTTGGCTAGTCATTTAATACAAGGCTGAGCATGTGATCAATTAATTTTTAGCATGGCTAAATCATAGTGCTTAATTTGTTTATTTATCCACCATTTTGCTTAAGAGGAGGCTGGGCAAAACTGTTTGTGTAGTTTAAAGAGTCAAGCCAGCAGAAACATATTCTCCACGGGAATGTTATGATCTAGTCAGTATCTGTATTTCTTAACTTTAGTTATCACTACCATTCACTGTTACTGGATTTAATTTGGTAATTTAAGTTGTTTTTGAATTGTTGTTGTTAAGTTAACAAATTTATTTCTTTTCTGTGATTCTTATTCTCACTAAATTGTTTTGGTGAATTTTATTAAAATCTTGACACATTTGACACTTGCAAAGTGCAACACAATGCCTCTAAAACCAGTAACTTATTGTGTTTCAGTTGAGCATTTAGAGTAGACCTCTTTGGATTCAGGTTTGGAGCTATTAGTTTTATCGTGATTTCATTCCTACCTTTATACATGTAATATAAATTTCATATTTTATAACGCATATGTATTTATGATAAATGTTGATGTAAGTATCAGCTCAATGGAATGTGGTTCAATGAGAGCTAGACTTCAAGTGTCTCATTGTATAATCAGCAGAGGTTCTGAAAACATTTTAAGACTGAAATTTGTGTGGATACACCGGGAGATGTTGATAGATACTGGAATTATAGATTGATCAAAGTAAAGAATTTGCACACATTTAAACTAGAAGAAGAAAAAAACAACACATTGTCTGGCCTAGATGCAATAATTGCACTTCCATATTTTTTATTGTTGAACCATGTTCTATAAGGTGCCTCAATTTATTGAAGTTTCTTTTTTCTTATTATGTTTTTTTAATTCTTATGAGATTATAAACATGTCAAGTGTTAAAATTTTTCTCTTATTTTTCTTTTATTTGAAGTCCCTTGTGACAATAGCACCATAAGTCAGGAAAAAAGTTCTTAAACTTTGACTCTCAGTTAAAAATGCAACAAAACATCACAAAAACATCACAAAATTCTGAGACCTCAAGATCCCTTGGGGTGATACAGCCTTAACTACCAAACTAGGTGTCACAAGGTAAAGTAGTATTCTTTTTTCAGCCCATGGTATTTGGATGGTAAAGGAATGAAAACACTCAATCGACTCTCTTATCAGACTAGAAGGTATATATTTTGAGTATGCATCACAATATTGCGAGAAAACATAAGCTGAATGATAGGTGAAAAGTAAGTAACTTTCTGGAAGGAGATTGGAAGTTAAATTAAAATTTGAATGACTTGAGATGTCCTCAGCAGTCACCCACAATGCATTTTACTTACTTTAAAAGTTATAATTAATGGGGGGGGGGGGACTTAAAGGGCCACAAAATCTAGAGAGATACCTTTAGATTCAAAGTTAACTCATCTCCTCCCACACTACATCCAATCCAATTTAACACTACAGTGACAGGCCATGAATAAATATTTACAGAATATGTAAAAATAGTTTCACACAGAGACCAATTATACATGAAAATGTCATGCAGTCAGCAGTACAATATTTAGAGCTGGTTTGTGGCATGCAGAGGACTCGGATGTTGTCAGTTGCAAACAAATAGAAATCATTGTGCGTCTTGTTGTGGAGCATCTTGGTTCCCAGCCAGTGGCTCTCCCCAATTGAAACCACCTGGTCGATCGGCAGGTTGTGGAACCTCTTCTGGTGGTGGATCAAACAGCCGTTTCCTTGAAATATTCAAACAGTACAAAATATAAACTAATGCATACTGGAAAAATTTCAGAATACATATAATACAACTTACAGTATTTGAGGAGTCACCAAGAGTCGGAAACCACCACTCAAATTTGGGAAAACATCTTCAATGAAAAAGTACATATGCCCAACTGCTATTCCTACAAAATCAACCCAAACTGCATTGCTCATAAGCAATGAAAATCCAAGAAGTACCCACGGGAGGTAGGGTGCCTACAAAAAGTTCAAAAATTATTCTCAAGAAGTCGTAAGGGGTGAAAGGTTATTTAGAAACGGGACTTACATTGAAGTTGAGAACTCCGAAAAAACTCATTCTAACATATGGATTCCTCCTGGACCATACATAGACCAACATGATGGTAAACGCCTGACCAAGGAATAGCAAACTTACAAAAAATGCAAATATCTGAAAGATGTTAAGGAAGATCAAACGCTAGAAAACAGATCTACAGTAAAGACGCTGCAATATGTACGTTGTAATAAGAACAAAGTGGATATTTCCACCAAACAACTTAAAGCTCAAGGATACAATCATGGAAACACCGCCGAAGATGAACATCATAACAAAATCTGCCGTACGACCTCTAAACGATCCTTCTTCTAGCATTCTGCAATAACGGTATGTAAATATTACATTGAAAAAGAAATTGAGACCAACGGTCCCAAAAAATAAAAATGTTGTAAATAGCCTCCATATCTGTAACAGACAGTGCAAGAAGGAAAATATTAAAATAAACTTTAATTGACGGTGTGGAGGCACACACAAAAAATTTACATGTCTGCTGGATACAAACCTGAAATTGTTTGACTATGAGGATGGGGTTGAAATAAAGTTGAAAAGGGGATATCAAATCCAATTGCTGAAACAGAAAGAGGTAGACAAATGTGAATGGAATTTGGAAGAGTGTAACACATTCAATGAAAATAAAAGCATTTCCTCAGTTGCTTGGAAACAGGACACAACATCAAGCGGACACAAAGTTTAAATGAATTAAAATAATGTGTAAATAGTTCATATTATACAAATACATGGGACAATGTTAGTATTTTTTTATGGAATAAGTTGGAATGCCAATGATCAATAACGAACATTCTATCGGCTTGAGCAGTAATTCACAAAAACTGTAAGCTAGTACCAATTTAAGCAGACCAGTAAAATAAAAGTCACATTTTTAATTATTTTGTGAAATTTCTGACAATGATTGTTTTGTTTTCAACAAAATAAAGCTTGTTCGTGTAAAATTATGGTGTTATCATTGATGGACTGTGATTTCCTTCAGACAGCCACCGTAACCAAACTAGGGAACTTACAACTGCTAAACTTGTCAGGACACATGCTGTGGTGTATGCCCGTGTCACCACGGGCATTTGAAGGTACTCTTGACGAAGAGTTTGATAAGCCATGGCAAGTGAGGCTATGAGTCTGTGTTTACAACCACGTCATTATTATTAGTATTTTGGAACAAGTTTGCCTGGTGTCACAGAGCAAAGGCAGAACATATAAGCATCAACATGTTCCGAAGAATATAATCAAAATTGTTTCACACAAAAGCACCGAAAAACTGCAATTTTTTCACGATTTTCCAGCAAATTTAGACTATAAACTGACAGCGGCGAACAACACTACCACTCTCTACTCTACTGCTGCAGCCGAGGTTGTGGGGGTTGTGGTTTTCGTGCTACTGACCCGTTTTTGTCAGTATGAGAATTTTACGTTAAAATTAAACAATTGAACAAAGGGGGTTCATAAAGTAGGAGCGGGAGTTTTTGAATAACGTGGATGGTTTTCTTGTTGTCTCCATTTTACCATTTTATCTCGATTTTCACTTATTTGATAAAAAAGAAGGGTAAAAAAGGAAAAACAAAACTATAAATTTTGTCTTAGATAGAAATTGAGATACACGGAAAAATATTTTATAAGTATATCAAAATTTATTTTTTTAAATTGTAAAACTTAATAAAAGCAAATAGAAAAGTTCAGTCACAGAATTATTATCAAATTCATATTGGAACATTCAATTTTTTTTATTAAATTCTTCGTACCACATAATTTGGTCCTTAGTGAGAGATGGTCGGGTTCTTTGGAGAGCAGTTTGAAAGTGATTTAGATTCAGTTTTGTGACTGACATTCCATCCATAGAGAGCGCACAAAGAGCAGCCTGAAACCACAATGAAATTTGAAGTTACTCAAAATGTATTGATGAACATCCACATTTTGGAAAAACAAGTTTCTGTACCTCTTTGCACAAATTTGATAGGTCAGCTCCAGAATATAAAGGAGTGTTTTCAGCAATGTGTCTTAGATCTACGTCATTGTCTACTGGCATATTTCTTGTGACACACTGCAAAATTTCAAGTCTTTGATTAGCATTTGGAGCAGGAACATAAAGTAATTTGTCAAATCGACCTGGTCTCAAAAGAGCACTGTCAATCATGTCTGGTCGATTAGTTGCAGCAATGATGATGACTCCCACATTATTGACTTTCTTTTTAAGTTGTGACTCCTAAAAAAACAAAAGATAAAATAGCAAATCAACCTGTGTTATTGAGTTGAAATGAATTAGAAGTGGTAGAATCAAGGATACCTCATTTTGTTCCCCTAAACTGCAAACAGGGCTAGCCTCTAAAAGCATCTTTTCATCACACCCTGCGGAGGGCCCCTCCAATTTTACTCCTACACCATCAATTTCTGTTAAAAAAGCTGAAAGCACGCGTTCTTGGGCCCCTGTTTCTTTATCTCCACGACAACCAACCAAAGCATCTATAAAAATCAGCAAAGAAAGAGACAAAAATAATGAAATTTGATGTGTATTGAATGGTATTATATGACATTCAATTTACCAAGTTCATCAATGAAAAGAATTGAGGGAGCGCCAGTACGGGCACGATGGAATAGTTCAGATACTGTTCTTTCCGCTTCACCAACATAGGGCGAAAACAAATCAGCAGCAGACACAGAAAGAAACGTGGTATTTGTAGCAGATGCTAGCGCTTTGGCTATACTGGTCTTTGCACAACCAGGGGGACCATAGAGAAGAATTCCTAAAAAAAAACAAAAAATACAATGGCATAGGGGGATGGAACTATGCTTGCAAGTACATTTATCAGCCATTAATTTTTAGATAATATATATTTTATTTTTTTAAAACTTGGTTACCTTTAGGGTGTGGGAGTCCCATCCTAGCAAATGCATCGGGATGAGTTAATGGCCACTCAATGGCAACTCTTAATTCATTTTTAACTGTTTGAAGACCTCCAATACCATCCATGCTAGTTGGTGTTGTTAGCACTACTCCCAGCCCACTACGCAAAGCTGATGGTTTTATTTTAGAGACAGCTCGTTTGAAACTAGAGCACCACCTTAGAGATGGGATTTCCTGACAAGTTTCAGAAGTCTGATTACAGCTTCTGGAAGATAAAAGGTTGCGGAAAGACTTAGGTACGAGCACCAAGTTTTGAAAATGTTAATAAACGCAACAATCTCACACCTGCGATAATTTTCAAGTGACACCTCTTGAAAAACAAGGGCTAAATCAGCTCCAACATATCCAGGGGTGATTGAAGCAACATATTTTGCAATTGGGTCAATGTCAACAGTCTTCAGCAGTGTAGTACTCAGGATTACTCTCACAATACTTTCTCTTTGGTGCTGAGATGGCACATTGATGAAAATCTTGCAAGGAAAAATGGGTAAACCATATTACAAAAAACACTCCTTTAATAGTACAGTACTTCAAAGAAAAGATGATCTCCACTTACCTCAGTTTCTAATCTTCCTGGCCGTCGAACTGATGGATCAAGGCTATTAACTTTGTTTGTAGTTGCAATAACAACCAGCCCTGGTGTTGAGTCTGCTTGCTCAAGCAGAGAGAGGAACTGAACTGTACTTCTCACTGATTGAGATGAAGTTTTAGAAAAGTCTCTACGCGAGCACAGAGCATCCACTTCATCTAGCAAAAGTATGCATAAACCTATGGGTAGAAAACAATAAATATTTATTAACTAATATTTCACTCACTCTCATCTCATTAACAAAATAAAGAAGAAGATAAAATCAGACCGGTTTCATGCTCTCCAGCTAAAATTGCAGCATCATTGAATATTTTTTTCAAAGCTTCCTCAGAAGCACCAGGCCTAGAACTAGTTGTTTCGGACCCTAAAACTGTTAGTAAGGTGGCACCGCACTCTGATGCAATTTGTTTAACCAACGATGTTTTGCCACAACCAGGAGGACCAGTCAGAAGAACCTAGTAATGGGGGTGAAGATGTAATACAGAAATCAATCAAAAGAAACACATTATTTTCTGTAAAAAAGAATAGGCAAGGCTAAAAAAACAAACAAAAAAAAACAAACAGAGGACCACTTTATGTCTGATATACCTGTCTAGTTGGTTTCAATGGAAATTTGCTGACATCACTCTTGTAGCTTAGATTCATATCAATTATATCCTTCAAAGCAGCTGCTGTGTCTTCTAGTCCACCCATTTTTTGAACTGATGCATGTTCTAGGTATTGTTCATATCTCAATTTACTACATACCATAAGAATTTGTACTTCACATTGTGAAGTTACTTGTCCAGGAATCAAATCTTTAGTGGAATGGAAACAAGAATGGATGACCAAGCCATAGATTCCATGTCTCAGACCATCTTTCAAATTCCTCAGAAATACAACGCAGTCTCTGGTAATCACATACAATTTTAATATTTCAGACACAACTGCCTCCAATTTCTCCCTCTCTTTTCTCCATCGTGGGATGTCTGATATATTTTCCACAATGACAGTAAGGCTTAACTTTTTTAAAGAGACTACTTGTGGCAGGATTTCTATCCTGCTGTCTTGTACAAAACCATTATTGATAGCCAAAGATACATTAGGCATGCCATTATTTCCACTGCTTTTGAAATGGACCACACTTGAGTCTAAATAGACATAGGATGGGTGAATTTCTCTCTGGAAAAATAATTTGCACACACAATATGCATTTTCTGAAATTTGTACCAAAGCAAATTTTCCATCATTTGAGGAGTTTTCTGGATGCTGTTCTCCAAAGGTAGTCCATTGAGAGAGGCAACTCTTCTGGATAGTGAAGACAGTTTCTTCATGAGGAACAACCGTTAATTGCATTTTGCATTTCCAATTCAAAATCTCGAAGACTCCAAGCTGTTTCAGACGGATACAAAAGTGCTACTATTATACCACCTTCCAATTTGTTCACTGTAAGAATACTTTCATCTACAAATCTTAAAATTCTTGTTTTCTTGAAGAATCTTTAAAAGAAAGAAAACAAAAACATAATAAGTCAAAGGGATAAGATAACCTGAATCTTTTATCTTATCTGTAAGTGCTAGCAATAAACTTCAAAAGTAAGAAAATATGAGCTACGTTTAAAACTTATCGGAAATCATAAAATATTAAGATACTCAGTTTTATTTCACCTAATTCAGTTTATTGTATTTTTCCACCGCGATCGAATATTTACAACCAGTCTGCTAAATGTTTTGTGGGGTTATCACTAACACATCGTAGTTCTGGTATAAATAAGATATTTAATTATACGTTGAATATGATGAAACTATTTACCAGTAGTGGCCCCGAACAACTAGAAACCAAAATTCTGTACGAATCGGAGATGACAAGCTAAAAACTAAAAGGAATAATGATTTTTTCGGAATATACTTAAAATTTGCCCCGCCACAACACGTTGGCGGACGCTGGCGTGTTGCAACGCTAGCCACCCTCGTCTATGAAAATTGTCGATTGACCATGAAAAATTGTCTATTCCAAATCAGATTGACAGCATTCTAAATGTTTATTCGTTTATAAAATAGTACCAATCTTTTAACGCAATAGTTCATACACGCACAAGCTCATTTATCAAAATCTAATGAAATCGGAGACATTATATTTTGTACGTTGGCATGAAAGAGTCGTCTGCTCCTTCTGCCGTCACTTCCGTTAACAGAACAAATTTCTGGCTGGGTCCGGTGGTCCAAGCCGAGACCTTATTGCACCGAGTGTCGAAGCCAAATACGGATCAAGTGATTTTCTTTGATAACTTCTTAATCCTGTACCTAGTGCAAATTCAATTGCTTCAAAATGCCTAGACGAGGTTCCGCTGCTCCGATGAGAAGGTACGTGTTAAACTATACTTCGGACATCTAACCTCTAAATGAAATAAACTCTTCCATCTTCATTTTATTTGTTTGGTACTACTCATTTTTGACCTTGTTTGTCCAGACTATGTAATGCATAAAATCTAAAACTTTGAAATCCAGTTTAAAATTAATTTGTAAAAGTTTCCATCTGCAGTGACAACTTGTACACACCTCCTTATTATACTACAAATTTTACACCTTTTCCAATTACAAAATTTTGTTTGAAGTATTGTGTTTTCCTTACAACTGAGGGTTCTGTAATGAATCATGAATCGGTTTTTCTCTCTTCTTCCATTGTTTTCTGATTGCTAAACTGTTGCATCATTCGTATATTTTACATTTCTATGCTATAGATTAACAAGAATTTTGAGTAAGTATATTGATACCTTTACTCCTCATGAACAGCAGATCCCCAACAAGGGCTCCACCTCCACCACCAAGGCCTGCTCCTCCACCACCACCACCTCCAGGTGCAGGAGCTGGTGCAGGAGCTGGTGCAGGAACCGGCGCAGCAGCTTCTGGAGGCCCCTCACTTATGGGACAGATGGCTGCAACTGCTGGTGGTGTCGCTGTTGGCTCTGCCATTGTAAGGACTTTGAAATGCATATATTCATGAGTACTTTACCCATCCTGATTGTAATGCTATGTTTTTTAAAAATTTCAGGGTCATGTTGCGGGGCATGCTCTTACTGGAATGTTCAGTGGTGGAAGTGATTCACAGCAGCCAGCCCCAGCAGCCCAGCCTCAATATAGTCAACAATATGCCCAGGCTGGGGGATCAGAGCCTAGTGGACCTTGTGCATGGGAAATCAAGCAATTCTTGCAATGTGCGCAAGGACAAAGTGACCTATCTTTATGTGAAGGATTCAATGAAGCACTTCGCCAGTGCAAACAGAACAATCGTAAGTATCACACCACACCCTCTGGCTCTTTTTTAAAGAACTTAATCCAACCCTCTGGTTTTGACAGATACCAATACTTATTATTTAATTTCTTTTACAGATATGGCGATGTGAAGTCTATTATAGTAAATTAGTTTAATCTGCTTTTAATGGGTATTAATGCCAAGGAGGTGAGTTGTTGGTTCAATCATGTTCTATCTAAATTTAAGGGGTAATTAGCTGTCAAAATTCACTGAATGCATTTTGGTGTGTAGTTTGGAGATGGAATTAAAATTAATTTTCAAAGTAGAGACATTTTTCTTGTTGTTTCAGACCATTACTTGTGTGTGGTCTCTAATTATTAGAAACTTCAAGGAAATTACATGCTTACATTCAAATTTATTTCATAAATAACACCAGATTAGCTTCATTAAATTATTTCTGACAAGAACAAAAAGCATGACATACCCAAATTTGTCGTTTACAACAGTGAAGTTAACAGTTGGCATCACATTATGTCCATTTTTGTTCGGAAGTATTTTTTGTCCGACAAGTACAATTTGAAATGAAATACAAGCATGCTCTAATATGGTTGAAGCATTTCAATAGGTAGACATTACCTCTAACAATAAGTAGTACACAATAGAGCTCAAAGAGTATAGAGAACATACTAATGAATACATGTAGAAACACAGTAATAGCACAATGAACTTACCTATTGCTGCATTACATGATGGTTAGGAATATTTTAAAGTTAAACTTGAGTAGGGCAAAACCATGTATAATACTACGATGGCAAAGAAACATGACATGAAGCAGTAGAATCCAGATTGGACGCATCATCGCTTTTTCCATATCTTTCCATCCAACCAGCCAAATTCTAAAATTATGGGACTGATCTTTTATCTTTTCTCAATTTTACACCTTGACACATATTTGGATTAGAATATTACAGATATCAAAATTTTCTTCTTCCATAATGTACATTGTAAGTGTTACAAGTTTTGAACATTTTGAACCTGTGTTCTCTACTTTAACTTAGAGTTGGTACAACCTAATGTTTTGAATGCTGCGGCATTACTCAGACAGTTTTCACTAAAAATTCATAAAAACTTTGCTGTTTTTGTAGTACATTTTTCAAATCTTTGGCAAAATTTTGGAGTCAATTGGTTGAGAAACACTAATGTTAAGATGCAAGAGTTATCTTAGAAAAACCTTGGCTCTCTGTTCTTATGACATTGACCTCAGAGCTAGAGTTGGTTGAGGTATAATCATATATCACTTTGCTGTTTTCAACTCAATCTGGATAGACACCATGATAAAAGTTATGGTACAATAAGCTTATTTGGTTAGATACATTATCACAGCTATGCAGTTGTCAGTTTTCGTCCCCTATTTTTTCTTGTTCCTCATTATATTGAGTCAGTTTCTATAAGGGCACACTAAACTACTCAGAAACACAAACAAAGTTGACTTCACCTGAAAAAAATCTGATTAGGTTGGCTTGTTCTTGTTGGTGGTTTGTAACATCTCTTAACACATTGAGTGCAACACAACACACATCTTTAAGCCAAAAGAGGTTGTAGTTGTTGACTCCCGCCCCCCTGATGCGTGTTAAGCCCAGATAAAACAGTGTGAACTTCTAAACAGCTTCTTTCTTATTGCTATGTTTCGAGGGTACCTGACTCCACAAAATATGGACTTGATACACTGAGGATACATTGGCAATGTATCTGGGGTACATGGCAAAAAGAAAAACAAATATAAGAAATGCAATCTTTGCAAAGTCTGCAGATTAAGAAACAATTAAATAGCAGCACACCATAAAGAGTTCAATGGAATAAAACAAATAGGAACATCATATTAAAATCAACTTCACAAAAACAATGGCAACTGCTGTCACACTACTGTAGTCCGAAGATAAGTACACGAAACAATATTTAAATTCCAGGTAGCATGGTATTTCTTAAAGTTGATACAACTATATGGCAAAACGTCAGTCATTTTAAGGTATGACATTGAATTGAGTATTCTTGTTGAAAATGGGCTTCTAAAGCAAATATTACTAAATTGTAAATGTTACCAATAAGAAAGAGTAAATACATCTCAAAACCTCTCTAAATTGTTACAACAAATAATAATATATATTTAAATTATTTTTTTTCACAGTAAGTTTTGCATAATTTTTTTTAAAGAGAGAAATATATCACAAAATTGATTTACAAGTCTGCAAGGGTATGGTTTAAGTGAAAAGATGAATCAAGCAAGCTTCGCAATGGTTAGTTGCCATCTCTCTGCCTAATAATTATCCATTAAAAGTTATGACGTCATTTAGAATTTTCAGGCTGTTTTAGCTATACTTAGTTGCAGAAATAATTATCACATTGTAATTGTTGTACAATCTTTGGCATGTCAGTAGTCTCTCTCCAGAAACCACAGGCAAAATTAATACAAAACAGCCAAGGAGAAGCCATTGAATGTCAATCTACTGTCACTACTGACATTACTACAAACTCCACAATAGTTACAGTAACGCATAAAGTTTTGGCACAAAGAGATGGCAACAGTAACAAGCAGAACTGCTCTCAGGAATCAATATTCTTTTTTTTCCTTTTTTTTTTTTGTTTCTTACTCATTGAAACCTTGTTGGTCCCTGTTCCTATCACGATCTCTTCCTCGTTGTTCTCTGCTTTGGTCCCAATGCCCGCGACCACCCGATTGTCCAGAACCGTTTCCCCCACGGCCACCCCCGTTACGGTCTCCCCTATAGTTTCCACGGTGTGACCTGCGCCCTCCACCACCTCCATGGCTGAGGAGGGTGAAAGGTGCACTGCTGGGGTTGCCATTGGATTGGGAATTTGCTGAGTTACCACTCATGGGAATGCCAGGAATAGATGGCAGGGATTGGTTTAGCATCCGTGGCCCACCAGAACCTCGCCCAGAGTCCCACCTAAATAGGATATACCATATATTCAAGATTAGGAAACTCAATTATTATGATAACAATTATTATCACCATGAATTAAAGTTGGCATATACTCACGAATGATTCCAACGTGAGTTTCCTCTCTGCGTTCCACCATTGTTATGCCAAAACTTTGTATTGTTTAGTGGGGGGAAGCGGCTGCCTTCTCGGGGGCCGTCCTGCTGATGTTCAGGCTGATCACTTGGCCCATCCTGTGTGGTCTCTTTTGCTGATTCGCGACGCTGTTCACGAGACTCACGGTGCTGTTCATTGTAATACTCTCGCTGTGGTTCATAAGATTGTTGAGACCACTGGTTGCTGGGCCTCTGATGAACCGATCCACCTGCTGCGCCCTGATCCTTATTTTGATTGGCTTTTATCATTGCCAGCTGAAAATGTGACGAATTGAGGAGGAAATTATTCTTGTTTAGTCCTTAATTTATCATGGAAAGATTTCAAAATTTTCTGAACTGAAAAAAAGAATCTTTACCTCTCTTCTCTGCTCATCATTTTCCCGGCGCAGTCGACGTATTACTTTTTCTGCATCTTCCAGTTTAAAAGCCAAATCAGGATCGGGGTTGATAGAGCTTATGGGTGGATCATCTGATGATGGCACAAGTTTATTTATGGAGCTTTCAAGCTGTCTGTGAAAATATCTAATTTACACAATGCTCTAGTAGTGACTATTTGAAAATAGAATTAATAGTTAATAGGACCTTACTTTTTCTGCTCATCAATAATATTTTCCAATGAAGAGTTTTGTGCTTTAGCTTCGTTGAGAAGGCTGCGCAGCTCGGCAAGATCCCGTTCAAGAATTTCAACTTGAAGAGAAGACACATTTACTTGTTTAGGGCTCAGAGTGACCTACAAGGTAATACAAAAATCTTTAATCATATCTTAAGTTACAACCACAGTTCAAACCGTCTCTTGTAACAGTAATTACCTGAGGCTTAGAGTCATCCTCTGGTGAGGATGGTGTACTTTTTACAAGTGCAAAGGACCCTTTGCTGAACACAAGTTGAAATTGAAGATCTGGAAGTTCAATGAAACATAGCCCATTCCTAATTTGTCCCAAAAATGAATCCAAATAATGTTTTCAGAATAATTTTTAGTACCTCGATTGCGTTGCCTCAATGTCTCTACTTCATGGTGCAACGATGTAAGCATGAGATGGTGTTGCTCCTTAAGAAACTTTATGTTTTGCTCAAGCTGTGTAATACGAAGAGATGGGTCAAAGCTTATGCTTAAGATTGAATCAGATGGACTGTTAGATGATGATGTACTCTCAGAGCCTGTAGAACGGGCATTAACACTCGCACTTATGATATCAGCTGTAGTGCATTTGCCAACCTAAACCAACAATGAGGGAATAAACAATAACCGATAAATAATTCCTCTGTTATGTGTACATAAGCAGGTGACAATCTCTCAACATACCGGTGACCCAAAGTTTACTGGAATTTTGACAAGAACTTTAGATGCCATGTTGAATGGTGTCGACAGCCTACCCCTTAACCATAGAACTCCAGCTCACTCCTGATCACACTGCAACCAAAATGTTAAAATCAGAACACTTCACTTAGAATGCAATTTTCACCAAGAAGCCTAAAAGATGAGGGAAACTCGAGTCCAACCCCGCTGCTGGTATATGAATCGCGAGTGCCTTTGACGATTCCCGGAGTTCAGGTCGGTGCACCCAAGACCCGCCTTACCCTGCTGTGACACCTGCGCGCGATATGGAGGCTACCGAGGAGCCCTCCTTGCCGCTGTGAACTAATTCTCCTGCTTTTCCTCGCCTTACTGACCCCACAGCCCCGACAGCAGGCCGAGCAGACTATGACGCCTGTCAAACGTAGGTTAGGCAGTCCCGTTTCGCACCGCCGTTCGGCGGGTGTGTCCAGCTCGGGGCGGTGGCGGTGGATCCTGTCGGTCGGCCGGAAAGATTCGCGGCGCCCGCCGCAGCAGACGACTGGTGTGTGTGTGTTTTTTCCTGCCTGCGAACTCACCTCGCGCGAGGAACAGCCCCTATTCTCGCATTGTGGCCGTGCCTGGCGGAACAGAGTGGGTCGGGGCGTCCAGACGGGCCTTGGCTGCGCCTGGAGTCGACGTGAATTTGGAAAGAAAGACAACAACCCGCACACTGTAATGGCGGCGAGCGGCGAGCACTATGGGCTTCTACGGGCCGTGGGGGAGGGGCGGG